CAGCTGTCTGCATGGACGGGCACAAGCTGCTGCTGATAAGGCGGCTTTCCTGCCAGAGAAGTCCTGAGAAAAGAGCTTCTGGCAAGTGGTCGTCCTCCACGATAGCTGTCACCCTGCCTGGGCCAGAGCCAACGGCAAGAGTATGTGGGACTGCAAAGTTGCCATGTTTTGTTGTGTGCTGGATGCCTTTGTTTGTACCTGGACATCTGTGTTCCTGCAGTCTCTTCTCAATAAAAATATAGTCACCAAAAGAAATTTCTTTCCAGAGCAGGAGGAGTGAGTTACAATAACAGGTAACCTTCTCATCGTGTGGTGCCTAGTCTTTTGCTGACTTCTGTGGTAGGATCTTGACCCTCACACCTGTCCCATGTCGTCAAAGCTCTTTCCAGTGATTTCGAAGGACTTCAGACTTCATCTTGGTTTCTTAATTCTCAGGTTAGATGCACCAAAGAGGCAGAACAGAGCCCTGCAATTCTGTATGACGATGCCTTCAGGAATAATGAGCCATTGGCAGGTACCTCCTCAGCAGCAGGAAAAGAAGAGCTGGACCAGAGTGGTCCCATCCTTTTCTTCTTCTTGTCAGCTGATTCAGTAATGCATATGTGACAGCAGTGATGGGAGGCGGTAACAGTGATAGTAGCACGTTCATTTTGCCAGTTGCCCAGAGTTCAGTGCTGCGTGAAGTGGCTTTCTGTGTACCAAGCTGTGCCCAGCTTGACCATCTCAATTTGATCTGATCCATCTAGCATTAACTTGTTGTAATATTGCAATAAATGTCACAGGATCATATCACTGAATAATTATCAAACAGAGCATCCAAGATGGGTTTATGCTGTCAGGTGAAAACAAAACGGTATTGATAATTATAAAAATGCCCTCAGGCAGGCAAACAGCATAACAGAGAGCATCTAACTTCTTTCAGTGAATACCTTAGCTCCCACGAGGTGGCTTTTGAAGCAGTCAGTGAAAGCAAATGGAAACCATTTCCCAAGTGCAACCCAAAGAATGTCAGAGAGTATGGGCAAAAATGTATCAGATAATTCTCTCAGGCTATGTCTGTACTTGCCGGTTAAACAGAGAGGGCCTGGATGTGGTCACTGGACCTTCCTGCTCTTCAGTCTGAGAGCAGGCCCTGCCAAGGCCCTGAGGCTGAGTAATACTCTCCTGCATAATGCCCAGTGTTTCAGGAGTCAGCCCAAGCCAGGGACCATCTAGTAGGCTGCTTGGAGAAGACCACATGTTGAAGGCTAAGGTTGCTTAATTGGACAGGTGTAACCAGTTGGCCTCAGGGCCCTGTTGCACTGCCTATGTTAAACTAGCGTGGCATGGCAGCCAGAGCCCAGAGGAGGAGGCAGGAGCCTGTGGCTCTGACTGTCCCTGCAGCATCCCTCAGCCCACCCCTTACCCACCTTACGCACAGCTGCCTTATTTTTCCAACATACCAGATGGAGATTGTCAGGTATTTGCATGGTACCAAGCACCCTGGGGCCAAGGTCTTGTGTAGTGTCTCTGACACTGCTCCTTCAGTGTGGTCAGGTGGAGAGTGCAGAGGCGATGTGTCTTGTCTAACTTAATCCACCCAGGAGAGGGCAGCAGCATTCGTGCACATCGCTGCTGAAATCACGCTTTGCCCCAAATCAAGAATTTCCTTCAGAAAAGGTCGGTGTACAGAGCCATGGGCTTTCATAATCCCTCCTACCAAAGCACAGGTCTGAAAAAGGCCCCCTGCATTTCTCGAATGAAGAGCTAATCTCCCCTACCTATACTCTGGTTGAGAACATCTGGACCCTAGAGACTGATGGAAAGATGCCCAGCCAAGCTTTTCACATTGTAAAAGTAGCCCTTCTAACTGGTGCTTTCCGTCCTATGGACTGACACAGTCCCTAGGAAGGACTTGCTGAAGGTTTTTTGATGGCTGTAACTTTTTCTTCACAGGTCAAGAGAGATATTTTCCCACATCTGATGGGAGTTAAATATTCTCCTTCAAGAGAATGTATTACTCTATGAGTGGAAAACTAGAATCCCCCCCAAAAAAGAGAAAAAAAAGCTTAAGAGTTTCAGATAAAACCTCTGAGACTTAAGCTGAATTTCTAGACTGAACATTTCTAGTGTTAATAGATTTTTTGCTGCAGATTTATAAGAAAGGCATCTAGTCACTAAATACCTTCTCATTTTCGTTAATATTAAGCATAGCTTTACAAAGGAAAATGAGAAATTAGACAGCTTTTTCAGCTGTGGTTTAAAAGTAGTTTCTGAAGAAGGCATGGGCCAGATCTGTTTTCTGAAAATAGATAAATTCTGTTATCAGGCAGAAATCAGCATTTGTCTTAACTGAGAACTTGGCTGTCAAGCAAATCTGATTAGTTTTCTTACAAGAGTGGTGCCATTAACTTTCTACTCCATCTCATCAAAGTGGCCGTACTCATGACGAAAGCAAGGAAGATTTGGCCTTTACAAATAGTAGGCATCAGTATTCTTGTGTTTTTATATAGTACTAGATATGTGTTCAGTTCAATTGAACACATTGAATTGATGTGTTCAATTATCTTTTTAACACATAAAGATAATTGAATACCTGTGTCCACTGACACAGACACCTGTACCTGCCCTGGCTACAGGAAAAAAATACATATCATCAAGCAGAAGAAAGAGTCCTCTCTTAACAGTGAAGAAGCAGGGCACAGTAGATGAATACTGATTTCCCGTGGCATCTTACTGAATTTGTAGAGATGTCAGTATCAGCCAGGGAAAATAATCCCTTTGAAGCTGAGAACCTGGTTCTCCTCTCTCTCTGTTTGTGTCATGTCTCCCTGCAGATTTCAGTGATCTGTCTCCTGAGTGACACTACTGCCAGCTCTTTTTTCAGGTTTTCTTGTGACCTTTGAAGGACGATGTCTTGGACAAAGAGTTTTAACCAAAGGGCTGAAAAAGGAGCGGACAGACCATAAATATGTAAGTGCATATGTCAAGGCAGCGCCAGAAAACTAAGCGATAACCCACATGTGAAGTGACAGGGACGATGCTGAGGCTGGGTGCTTGGGAAGCAGAAAGGCCACGGGAATGGAGAGCAAGGCAGGCAGCAGCTCTGAGGGCAGAGGAAAGGGAAGGAAGGGTTTTTGCCCCTTTGAACTGAAACTGCTGCCCAAGGGCGAGCAGGGCCTCGTCTGGAAGAGGGGGCAAGTGGGAGCAGGGCAGTGGGAGCATTCTCCATGGAGAGGTGTCTCTAAAGCTGTGAAAACAGAGAACTTTTTCAGTCTTCTTGCTCAAGAATGACAGTGTGTGAGGAACCAAAGATTAATTTTGTTGTAATTATACAAACATGGCAAAGCTTGACATTAGCAAAGGATCAGCTGATTATGACTTCTTAGTGAAACCACATCTGTCATATAGAAAGCTTTTTTTCTCTCCCTCTGTTATAGTCATGGGTGTCCCTATCGCTTCGCAGGACCAGTGTCGGCTCCTTCGTGTGGTGGTTATAGCTGATGTCGAAGCCTAATAGTGGGTTACCTGATTTTCCAGACTCTACAGAGCATCAGAAGGTGGTCCAGAAGAGAACTGCATGTAAGTGCTTAATTAAGGATATACACATATCCCCATCACATCCAAGAAAATGAACTTGGGAGAAAAAAAACATGTTAAATAAAATA